AAAATACAGCAAGTAGTCTCATCTCATCTCAAAAGACTAATATTTTGATGGCCAATGAGAAATGTAAAACAACTGGCAAGCAAGCAACTACTCAAAAATCTTGTAAGCCAGGAGCCAAGGCTGTAATGGAGCCAACATGGAAACATCTCATTAAAATGATGTGGACAGAAGAAATTTAAACACTACATACTTAAATTTAAAATCACCTTCAGTACAAGTCAAAGGGTCAACATGATATAAATGATCATCCATAGAATCAATGTTTCTAAATACAAAGACAAGAAGCTTAGATTTATCTCACTGTTCCATAGAAATTATACATTCATTGTCTTCTAGTTTGTAAAAACGAATTGTTGGTATAATAAAACTGGAAACTGGGAAGATTGAGCAAGACTGCTTTACAGAATCCAATCCCAAGTTGTCTGCCCAAGGGTAGATTCAGTTTTTCTCTAGCATTTGATAAGTCAGGCTGATCTTAAAAGTAGTAGTTGGAAAATTTTTCGAGGCAATGGTTCTCAAAATTTCCAAAACAGCATTATTGGCCTCACCTTTAAACTTGTTAGAAATGCAGATTTCTCGATTTACTTAACTGGAAACTCTGGGCATGAGCCCAACAATCTGTGTCTTAACAGGCCCTCCAGATGATACTGACGTGTGCTAAAGTTTGGGAACCACCGTTCTAAAGACAAAAGATACTAGACAACCACTGGTTAAACCTTCAGGATATGAACTGACAGTACAAACAGTTCTTGGTGGTTGAAAAGGGTGGAAGGACCATAATTAGATGGGATTCACCAGCAGTGGAGTGCCGTTTTCTCCCTAAAGTGGTCAGCCACTCTCTCCTCCCTGGTACCCCTTCGTAGTAGTACTGGACAAAGATACAGAGCAAAGATTTTGTATGGTGCTAGTGGTGTGGCAGTGGCTTCTCTTCAATGATGGGGCGGGATCACAATTTATAAAGAAACCAACGATCTCAGGAGATATTTTTGGTCTGTCTTCCCTGAAATAAGTATTGTGTTTTGGAAATCTAAAGGGTGTTCTCTTCTAAAATCTTAAGTTATTAGTTATTTCCACATCAAATAACAAACACTGCAATACAGCCAGAGAAAGTGGATCTTCCAAACAAACAAAAAAAGGTATGTTTGTTAGATTGCTCCACTACTAAATGAGAACTTTTTTTTGAGGAGGCATAATTAGAAATCAAGTTCTTGACCAATTTTACACATCTTTCCCAGTAACAAGCTCATATTTCCAATAAAAAGTTCTCTTTTGCTTTCCTAAGGCCACACTAAATCTCCCTGGGATCACCTAAGTGGTGCCCAAGCATACTGAAGTTTTGTCTTTCCACTGCAAGACTGGATTTCCTTCTGCCTGTCTCCTTGTCTGTAAAACAGGTGGAAATGTGTAGATGTTATGGCACGTGGTTACTATGGATATCAACCTGATGCCCTTAGCACCTGGCTCTTCAAGCAATCTTGTCCAACCAGCTGCTTCCTCTTCAGAGAATGTACACTTTGAAAAATGGTTATCCATTATTTTGCATATTCCCAAATTTTGTGCTACAAATTTAGTACCATGTATTTCCCAGAGAAGCAAGTAAAGAGGCACTGTTGGCTACAGGGCACTTTATTCTGAGTTGATTAAATGATTTTTGAAAAAGGTTTACAAATGTGTATGCCATTCCAGACACAGGCTGCCATGTTTTTCTGTGTTCACAGCTGGCCATGAACAGTATTATTCCATCATTTCCACCTAATTCCATGAGTTTTCTAAAGTAACACCGAATGTCTGCTTTTAAGATCAAAGTTCAGATTTTGGTTTTATTTTCAAACACTCAGACTGTGTCATATATGATTTTTCTATGTGTAAACATGGTTCTTTTTTTTTTTTTTAACCTTATTTTAAAAAACCTCCATAACATCCCAGACAGATCTAAGATGCCAATAGCCTCATTTTAACGGCCTCATTCCTTGAAACTTTCTCTCGTACTAGAGTGCTTACTCTGTGGACTTAGAGCATGTTGTCAGAGAGAGAGAAAGAGAAAATGGCCTTTGAATTCAGAAACACCTCTTTTGCAACCAACTTTGCCTTTTACTTGTTATATTGGGCAAGTTTCTTAACCTCTGTGTGTCTGTGTTCTTGTCTGAAAAAATGAGGAACACAATACCTGTCTCACAGAGTGGTTGTGAGGACCACGAATGATCATATAGGTATAGGTTTGCAATCACAGTGACATTCACCACACTCGCCTCCTCCCTGCCATTTGTAACCTCTTGATATTGTTATCAGCTCTACACGAAGGTCTTCATTCTGCTTAGTTTGATGGGACTGATACTAATTGATTTTCCTTTCTGAGAAAGAAAACTTTTCTGTATAGGCAGAATTGTGATGAATCTGGCAAAGTCAAGGATAATCTATTACGTAACTGTATTACCTTCTCACAGCGAAGGCTATTTGACTCTCAACTAACTCTGTATAAGCCTTCTCTTTAAAACAACAAAAGCCTAATGATCATTGCACCAATGTTTCAATTTCAAGGTACTTTTGAGTTATATTAACATGCTTGTCATGTTTAAAATTTTACTTTTATTTACTTTTTTGAGACAAAGTCTCACTTTGTCACCCAGGCTGGAGTGCAATCTTGGCTCTCTGCAACCCCCACCTCCTAGGTTCAAGCAATTTTCCTGCCTTAGTCTCCTGAGTAGCTGAGATTACAGGTGCCTGCTATCACGCCCAGCTAATTTTTATATTTTTAGTAGAGATGGGGTTTCACCACGTTGGTCAGGCTGGTCTCAAACTCCTGACCTCAGGAGATCCACCCACTCTCAGCCTCCCAAAGTGCTGGGATTACAGACATGAGCCACTGCACCCAGGCTGATTTAAAGTATTTTATTTATTTTTTGTTTTTGAGATGGAGTTTTGCTCTTGTAGCCCAGGCTGGCGTGCAATGGCACCACCTTGACGCACCACAACCTCTGCCTCCTGGATTCAGGCGATTCTCCTGCCTCAGCCTCCCCAGTAGCTGGGATTACAGGCATGTGCCACCACGCCTGGCTAATTTTGTATTTTTAGTAGAGATGGGGTTTCCCCATTTTGGTCAGGCTGGTCTTGAACTCTCAACCTCAGGTGATCCGGCCTGCCTCAGCCTTCCAAAGTGCTGGGATTACAGGTGTTTAAAGTATATAATATGAGCTGTTAAGTATGTTAGCATCTGCCTGGGTTCTTAGTGGTCAGTCATTACACAGCCCCCAAATAGTAAAGGTGTTCTACTTTTATATCTATGGTGAAGGCTGGAAAATTATCATAAGGGGAGAGAGAAGATGGTGTAAAAAGGTAGCCTAACTGTCTTTAAAAGCAGATCAGGAGATACAGAGAGCTAGGTGGATGCTATGGACAGGGTATGAGCCTTCAATCGTTAAAACCTATGTCCTCATTAATGACAGAGAGAACTCTGTCCCTCTGTATACTTGGCTGGGCAGGGTCTCTTGTACTTGGAGTTTTACAGATGTTTGTTTCATGAAGCACACTTTACCAAAATTTAAGAAAAGGGAAAGATCTCAACTTCAGGGTAATATACTTTTGGCTGTAAATACAGGCAACTAAAAGCAATGTATAAACTCTCATTCTGCTTAGGTCTGTAAATACGTGCTAATAACTGTTCTAAATTTCAAAAGGCTGCCTTGAATTTTGTATTACTGTTGCTGCAAAAGAGACTCTGAGAAGAGAAACACCTGGCACTTTCAGAGACTGGGAGGGAGTGAAGGAAAGGGGGGGTGGGGGGGGGAAACTGAGTCACAGGAACAGGGCAAGAGACCGAGCTGGGCAGCCTGAAAAGGTGCCACTGCCCACCCCAGTGTTCCTCATCTCTTCCCTTTCTTCTCCACCTGCTGGGAAGAATCAACTGAAGGCCTATTTATCAAACACTACTCTGCATCAAGCAGTATCCTTTCTGGAAAGTGCAAATGCCTCTGAGAAGTACTGCTGTCACTCAGTGATGTTTCCGGTTGAAATCTGATGTCAGTGGATGACCCGGAACTCTGGAGTGCAGAGTATGTTAGGACTGGGTTATAGAGAAGACAATGGGAAGGTACCAAAACGCTCTTAAAAAATTGCAGGTCAACAGCTGTGTACACCTTCTCATACTTTTATTCTTGGGACCCATAATCAGGCTAGAACTAGAATAGTGTTCAGACATAGTACAGGGTAAACTTATGTTCAAGAACTAACTTTGGATCCCATAATAGAGTATCAGGGAGAATGAATTCTGATTTCCAAACAATTAACTAACATACTTTGGGACACTGTATTCTCGATTTTTTTTTTTTTTTTTTGGAGACGGGAGTTTCACTCTTATCACCCAGGCTGGCATGCAATGGCCTGATCTTGGCTCACTGCAACCTCCACCTCCCGAGTTCAAGTGATTCTCCTGTTTCAGCCTCCTGAGTTGCTGGGATTATAGGCACCCGCCACCACACCTGGCTAATTTTTGTATTTTTAGTAAAGACGAGGTTTCACCATATTGTCCAGGCTGGTCTTGAACTCTTGACCACAGGTGACCCACCCACCTCGGCCTCCCAAAGTGCTGGGATTACAGGCATGAGCCACTGCCCCCAACCAGTATTCAGAGATGGAGACAGCTTCCTTTGAATTTTTCTACTTTATGAAAAGTTGCTATGTATAAATACTGTAATTCTAGCCTCTGCTTTACTGAAGCCTTTCCCCCCAGTAAACTGGAGTACTCACAGGTTCATAAAGAAGAATTGAACCTCAGGTAAGCTATAAGAAGAAACAAAACAACTGTGGTGTTACTTCTGTTGGAAAATTTTAAAAAAGCAGATACCCAACTTTCAGTTTCATTTATAAAGTATAAAAAATTAAAAGTATGCAACATAGTTCATTGCTATCCCAACAATTGCCTTTTAAGATCAAATAGTTGATTACCTGTTTCTAAACTTGAATTATTGTCTAATGAGTAAAAACTGAAGGCAAAGCGTGTTTTCTGGAACTGGAAGAAAAAAAAAAGTCTCCCAGATTCTGTGGTGATCTCTAGATGGCACATTAAATGATAAGCATCTTTTGTTCAGATCACCTAAGGAAGTCAGAGAACCCTGCCTTCCTCATATCCTCTAAGTTAGTTCCATATTTCTCAAGGAGGACAAAGTTTACAAATACCAGCACTGAATAAAGTTCAATCCCTTTGAAATCGTTATTTTAATACTGTAGAATTTATGTCTTATATTTAAAGGGTGACTTACTCATTATGAATACATTTTTAGGGGCTGAGAAACTATAATATATGCCTTAACTAACTCTGCTCTGTAGAATGTGTGTAAGCTTGATTGAGGAGTTTTCAATCATTAGGATAATGTAAGAAATATAAAAATACTGTAAATAATAAGATAAAGCTTTCAAATATATTATTTTTCTAGTAATACTTAGAAATAGCCACCTGAAATATTGGTCTGAATAAAAGACATCAAACAGGGTAACTTTACTTGCTAAATAGGATATATTTTTTAAATAGACAAAATTTTCTAAACGTGTCTTTGTCCTTTACTTTCGTTTTGTAAGACTAGAGCTTGTATAACTGACACCATAATTCTGTAAGATTGCTGTATTACAAGATTCAAAATGATTTCGTCATCATCTCTCCCCACCCCACACTCCCTGCTCTCTTCCCTGAGTCCCTTTCCTCCAAGAGTGTTGACAGAAAAAGAGTTGTGTTTTAATGTTTTATTTTCTTAAAAACCAAATGTTATACTTTATGCTCAGGTAATTGTGGGCATAGAACTCTAAGTGCAACAAAGGACTAAGGCACCATTTTTCTTTCCTTTCCTTGTTTGCCTTGGGGACGGAAGCAAACACCACAAGAACAGCCAGGGTGGCCGGTCAGCCTTATGTCTCTTGGCAAGGTATGTATCAGCCACTTTCACTGGGTACTCTGTGTCACAGGCTGACAAGCCACAGACTTCAAACCCTGCTAGGAAAGAACTTTCTTCTTTTAGAAATACAGAAATAAAGGCACAACAGTACCTTACATGGGGAAGTTGGTAAATACCTGAAAACCTTAATGATTTAGGAATAATTTTGAAGTGTTCTAGATTATTTTACAACGGAAGTCACCTCTTTCTTATGACACCCAAGAATATATTTTTATGGTTGTCTTCTTCCCAGCCAAACCCATAATCATACATCTTCCTCCATTTAATAATCCCTGGTATTAGATGTCTGAGTGTTTACATATCATCAGCTTGACTTACCAGCAGATATTGCCTTAGGAATTGTATTTATTTTTAAAATGATGGATCAAATGGATCAATACGGTGTTTTCAAAGGCGTAATCCTTGAAAATGACTCATTTGGGGATAACATTGTAAGCAAAAGCACTGGGAAATATACTTCAAGAGTCAGAAACATATCAAGGATTATAGATTCTTCTATAATAATGTGCAAAATCAGAATATCGTTTGTGTCATCTAGATACAACGTTAGTATCTAGAATGGCCCCAATGCTGATCAGTGGTTGAAAAGGCTTTTTACACCGGGAGACACTGTTCTCTGAGACACTAGTTTAAGTGGGGCTGGTGGTGGGGAAAACGCAACAGTTGGATTGGCAGGCAGACTCTAACCCTCACTACTGTTTTTTTGCGGGGAGGAGTGGAACAGGAGTCTGCTACACAATGATGTCATAGACACGGCCCACTCGGCCCAGCCACTCCCGCACAGCCTGGCGAACTCGGATGTCGGTCACGTGACAGGTCAGCTGACTGATGCACGGGAACACTGCGGGCTGGAGGGCCGTGAAGGTTTGGTCTGGGAGAATCTGAATCTGATTGAGAACTGTTAGCACCATGTTGGTCCATGCCTAAGAGAAAGGATTTAAGAAAATTAGTGGCTTCCCGCCCCTGGTTTTACTTGAACACTTCAGTGTGGCCCTGCCAATGTGGAAATTTTTTTTCTTTTTTTTAGAGGCTTTAGTTGCAATAAATTAGTTTTCACTCATTTAATATGCCTATAATAAATTGTTGTTTTAACTTCACATACGTAAAGATGGGCAGAGGCTCACCTTATTTTTAGCTTTCACAAACTACTAAGCTCCTACTTATTTCTTAAGATTTAAAAAAAAAAAATCCTTGCCTTCTCATAATGAGATTTCCATAGGCCATTAATCTCAAACTCATTTTTTGATGCACCATAGAATTACGCTCAAAGCCTCCCTGAAGAATGAGAATTTTTATTTGTACAGGATGGACTAGAAAAACTTGAGTTGAAAACAATTTGAAAAAAAATTCATTGGCATAACCACACAACATTCACTTTGCTTTTTTCTTTTATATAATGCTTCATAACTACAGAATTTCCTCAGTGCCATTTTCAAATGACACAGTAAGAACTCAATGACAGTTAAAGCTTACTTTTTTTAGGACAGGGTCTCTCTATGTTGTCCAAGCTGGAGTGCAATGGCACCATCTCAGCTCACTGCAACCTCTGCCTCCTGGGATCCAGCAATCTTCCTGCCTCAACCTCCCAAGTAGTTGGGATTACAGGCATGTGCCACCTCGCTCAGCTAATTTTTGTATTTTTTTTGTTTTTATAGAGATGGGTTTTGCCATGTTTGTCCAGGCTGGTCTTGAAAAAGCCTTCATTTTATAAGCTTAAGCCTCACCTTATTTCTACAGGTAAGTTCCTCATTCTTGATAATCTACATTACAATGGAGAAAAGTAGTTCCTGAAATTATCTGAGAGTAAAATTCCAGCTTCATCATGACATACTGATACTGGCAGATCCCGCACTTAGGCTCCGGCAGCCCTCTGACTTCAGAGGGAAATCGGTTCCCCTACCTGTTTCTGTAAATCTTTTTTTTTTTCTTTTTTGCTTATTTATTTACTCAAGTACAGTTAACATTCAGATGCAAATGTAAATTTGAAATTACAAATTTAATTAAACCATGAACTAAATTTCTTTAATTCAACTTTTTTTGTCTTATAATATTAATACTGGACCTCGAGAAGCCCTAAATGTCTTTTTATTTATTTACTCAATTTTTTAAAATTGCATTTTAGGTTTTGGGGTACATGTGAAGAACATGCAAGACTGTTGCACAGGTACACACATGGCAGTGTGATGTGCTGCCTTCCTCCCCATCACCTATATCTGGCATTTCTCCCCATGCTCTCTCTCCCCAACTGCCCCCCCCCCATTTCCCCCCAACAGACCCCAGTGTGTGATGCTCCCCTCCCTGTGTCCATGTGCTCTCATTGTTCAACACCCACCTATGAGTGAGAACATGCAGTTCTGTACATCTTAGCCTGTACGTGCCCAATCTGCAAGGGGGGCCCATCTAATATTGGAAACCCAGCCTCCCGCCCACCTCCTCTAGGCCGCAGGATGGTACCTGGATCTGTGCTTCTGCGTCTCTCACGGAGACACTAAGGGAACTCCCGGTGGAGCCTGAGCGGGGCCTCTTGTCCTGCCGCAGCAGCTCGGGGCCTGCGCTGAAGGAATGCCGCATTTGCCCTTGATCCATCAAGTGTTGGGGACGCTGAAGCAGCGGGGAGTCCTGGCCCCTGGGGCCCAGTGGCTCTCCTTTCTTCTCCACTTTGATGTCTTTGGGGAACGCAGGCAGGTTGTGCTGCTGTTTCCTCTTTTTGTATTCGGTCATCAGCTTTGAAATGGTCTTGTCGGCCGCCATGGTGTAGATTTTGTTCCCCGCGTTCTCCCACCACTCCTTCTTGCGGCTGGGATCCTTCTTCTCCACCTTGGGGCTGGGGGGCAGCAGCAGGTCCCCACCCCCGGCCTTCAGGCTCAGGGACTCGCCTGTGTGCTCCCGGGGCTGGCTTCTGTCGTCCTCGGAAGGGGTTTCTTTCCCAGAGAAGCCCCCGGTGGAGGGGGTGGATGACTCGGACTGGAAGGAGGGCAGGATGAAGAATGGGTCGCTCTTGAAGATGGGAGGCTCCTCCATACAGTTCTCCAGGTCCAGGTGCATCTGGATATAGTTGTTGCACAGTTCCATGCACAGCTTGTGCAGCCTCTTGACCAGCCACACCCAGTCCGCGTTGCTGACGGGCTGGACGCTGAGCAAGGGCATCCGTGCCCGCCACTGTCTCTTCTCCTTGCCTCTCGGGGGGCTGACCTGCGCGGTTTCCTCAAAGATGTCTTCATCCTCGGATGAACACTGCTGGGAAGAGTCTGTGCTTCTCTCGTCCTCCTCAAAAAGGACCTTCTTCACTTGCTCTGCAGTGATGGTTTCTTGATTGGTGAGAACGGCACACACCAGGGCGTGGAAATAGATGTTAAAGCTCATGGCAGACTGGCGGTAGAGGTTGGCGGCACCCCCGATGCCAGACACTTTCTTCAGCAGGCACTTCAGCCCGGGGCTCGTGTCAAACTCTCTGGCGGTCCTGTAAGAGTCCAGCAGCAGGTCGAATATGACTGCCAAGTTCTGCATGGAGATGTATCTGAGGAAGCCAGCCAGCTTGGCTTCTGGCACTTGGATCGTCTTCTCCTCTCCAGGAGAGGGGCCTTTGACGAACTCTTCTAACAAGATGTCATATAAGTTCTGGAGTAAGACCTGATGAGACAGCAAGCTCACCACAATTTCCCTGAAAGACACGCTTCAAGTGAAAAGAGAGGGGCTGATGAATGGTTTTCTGCCTTATAGCAGGTATTTCAAAGCAATATAGACATTACCCATTTCAGAATGATATATGCAGATTTACAAACTAAACTACCTGGACTCAAATGTTTTCCATGAAAAAGGGCATGCTTTTGGGGGCATTATGCGATAACCATTTTAATCACAACTAGTGGAATTCTTAACAGTTTTAAAAATTCCCAAAGTTATAGAATATAAAAGTTATGATACCAAATTATCAAGATATATTTGTGAAAAGACATCACTGTTGAAGGGGGCTGGAGGGTCTTTTTGCTTGTGGGGACACTGAATACATTTTGGGTTTTCTATAACCCAACACATGAGGTCAGGTGTGGAATTCTCCATTTGTGGTGTCCTGTTGGCACTCAAAAATTTCAGATTTTGATGGATTTTGGCATTAGGAATGCCCAACATGTATTATGTTTGCCAAACATTTTAATTCACCAGTGTGGTTCAAGGTGGTTCTGGTTTACAGTTTCATTTCTTTTCATTGCTCTTATAATTTTATGGAAATAGTTTAGGCTATTATATGGCCAATTAATTCCCCAAACTGCATAATTATAAAATTATGACAACTGTTATTAAAAATATTAATTTCAAAGGTCTAGCCATTATGTTAATAACATTTTGCTTTATGTCTATGACTTTGAATGTAAAAATTTGTATAAGTAGGAAAAGTGCTTTTCTAATAACAGAAAATGACAAATCCTACATAAATCTTAATGTTAACTTTGCCCTTTGTGTGGTCCTTACTGAGAGAAAACACGTTACTCTCAAGATGAAATGAGTCACAAAGGGCTGTTATTCAAAAACAGTAACCTTTTAAAATAAATCACTTGAACATAAAAGTTACTTTAACTTTTTTATGTACACAATTCACTGGTATTAAGTATATTCATAATGTGTAACCATTACTGCTATAAATTGCTAAAACTTTTTCATCAGTTTTAATCAAATTTTTTCATCAAATTTAATTTTTATTTATTTATTTTGAGATGGAGTGTCGCCCTTGCTGCCCAGGCTGGAGTGCAATGGCGCGATCTCACCTCATTGCAACCTCTGCCTCCTGGCTTCAAGTGATTCTCCTGCCTCAGCCTCCCTAGCAGCTGGGATTACAGGCATGTGCCACCCCACCTGGCTAAGTTTGTATTTTTAGTAGAGACAGGGTTTCTCCATGTTGGTCTGGCTGGTTTCCAACTCCTGACCTCAGATGATCCACCTGCCTTGGCCTCCCAAAATGCTGGGATTACAGGCGTGGGCCACCGTACCCAAATTTCATCATTTCTAACAGCAACTTTGTACCCACTAAACAACTCTCCATTTCCCAGCCCCAGCTCCTACTTAAGCTACTAGTAAACCTGAATGCAGATTATTCTGAAAAAGGGGACTCCAAAAGTTTATACCAACTTGGTCCAAAAGCTACTAATTTGCTCTAATGTTTTCTGTCCATACTATACGAAGTATGGACTAAAAAGGGAAAGTTTCTACTGATCAGACAAGTCTGTCCCCATGATACCATAACATCCTTAAGGGACAGGACAGTATCGAATTCATCTTTTTGTCCCCAGTAACTGGGAAAATGGTGAGAGTAGCAACATTCAGGAAGTCTCCAAGTCAAAGAATGAAAGCAGGCTGGCTCTGGGCACAGGCTGCTTGAAGGAGATGCTCCCCTGAGAAATGGCTCTGACATTTGAACCCCCCGCTCCCCTAGGATCCTGGATCCCTGACGCAGGAAGCACCACCAGAGGGGTGAGTTTAATCAGCCTGGTGAAGGCGTGAACCGCTTCACTCACAATACGGTTTTTTATTACCTTCCCTGAGAAATAGCAAGCCATGTTCCAGCCAGCACCTAAAGAGAGGCTAATGCAAAGCCATGTCTGAATTGTGGAGTATTTTCATCCACCAAGATCATTTTTTTGGATGCTTTAAGAGATACAGCTGCTAACTATGCATATAAAAAAGGGCAGCAAATCCCCTTTACCTTAGGTTCGGGTTAAAGGATGCAGTGACAAGAAAACAGTGGGAGGGAAATAATACTGAAGAGATCAAAATTTCAGAAAGATAAGGGAAAAGTGAAACAATTTTATAGATATCCAATTCCTAATCATCTATGCTGATGGGAGACAAAGATCTCAAACAAAATCGACAAATAACTGTAATTCAGCATACCCAAGGTTTCAAGCTTTTTCTCAGCACATCTTTAAGATGTCTGCCTTCCTCCTGCTGTTTAAGGGCAAAGGAAAGCCAGTCTCCAGATTGGATAATTGAGAGTTAATTGCATAACAAGTGGTTGACTTAAAACATGCTAATGTATATCTTAAAGCGCTAATTAAGCTGTGGATTGAGTAAAGCTTGGGGCTATCAATGTCAAAACTATGAAAACAAACCCAAACCAACGCAGGTTTCTCTATTTAAATGCTGTAATCTGGTTTTAGGATTACATCTAAAGGATGCACCTGGCCAGCATATAATTTTCCATAGGTCTCACTCATCTTCCACTACATCCTATGCTAAACTAAGAATTGCCCCTGCAAATAAGAGTCAAATCTAAGAATGCAAAGCATACAGAGTTTGGCTGAGAGCTCTTAAGGAATGTTAAGGAATGTCTTTTGGCTCAGTGGCCAGTGGCATTGGTGAAAGAATTTAATGTGCTTATTTTGTTTTGCTTAACTACGAGTGGGTAATTGCCCATTGAACGTGCTAAGTAAATTTATGAGCCACGTTGGTATATTTTAAAACTGTAACCTTTTAAATCCAACAACAAAAGGGTATTAGGCTATTCTCCTATATTTGATTTATAATTTGAATGCAGCCTATTATTCCTTTTTCCTACCTTCACATCAAAAATATTTCAGCAAGAATTGGCTAAATGTGAATCAGAAATAGGAAAAAAGGAAGAACTGAAGTTCTGAAGTAAAGCAATGCTTAAAGATGTCAAAGGATTGCACAATTTTGGTACATTAAAAAAAAAAAAAGACCACTTAAAAATTAGTGACTGGTGGTTGAGGGATACAGGGGCTAGAACTGGGGAGGAGCTCGTGGGATTTTAGTAAAGTTCTGTTCCTGAATTTGGAATTTTATTTTTTATTCATGCTTCGTAACTTTTGAACATTCCACATTTTTTTGATATGTACCAATAATTGACCAAAAATTATTAACTATAAATTTCACTCAAGTGATTGTTATATTAATCAAACTGCCCCGATAACTCAGCTACTTTTTTTTTTTTTTTTGAGATGCAGTCTCATTCTGCCACCCAGGCTGGAGTGCAGTGGTGTGATCTCAGCTCCCTGGAACCTCTGCTTCCACGGTTCAATTGACTCTCCTGCCTCAGCTTCCTGAGTAGCTGGGATTACAGGCATGAGCCAGAATGCTTGGCCCAATCACCCAAAGCTTGTAAAATGATACCAATTATTTTTGCTCGGGCTGCTGTAACAAAATACCATAGACTGGGTGGCTTACAAACGATGGAATTTGGTTTCCTGTAGTTCTGGAGGCTGGATGTCTGAGATCAGGGCACCAGCATGGGTGGCTTCTGGTGAAAGCCCTCTTCTAGACTACAGATGACCATCTTCACGGATCCTCACATGGCAGAAAGAGGGCAAGGGAGCCGTCTCTTCTCTTAAGGGCATGGATCCCATTCATGAGGGCTCCACACTCATAACCTGATTTCCTCCTGAAGGTCCTACCTAACATCATCACATTGGGGGTTAGAAGTATAAAACACATCAATGTGGGAGGACACATTCTGTCCATTGCATCAACTCTCTCCTTGAAATGCGAAAGGACAGAGGCCTTATGCTCAACCAGACCCAGTTTTGTTTTGTTTTATTTTTGAGATGGAGTGTAACTCTGTTGCCTAGGAGTGCAATGGCATGATCTTGGCTCACTGCAACCTCCGCCTCCTGGGTTCAAGCCTCCTGAGTAGCTGGGACTACAGGCACACACCACCATGCCCTGCTAATTTTTGTATTTTTAGTAGAGACGGGGTTTCACCATGTTGTCCAGGCTGGTCTCAAACTCCTGACTTCAGGTGATCTACCTGCCTTGACTTCCAAAGTGCTGGGATTACAGGCATGGGCCACTGCACCCAGCCCAGATTCTGGCTCCACCACTTTGCAGTTGTGTGTCCTTGGGCAAGGGACCCAAGATTCTCTGTATGCACCCTCAGTGGGGAAATGGGAGCAGGAATACTTATCCACTGTGTTTCACACACAGCACTAAAATAATCATTACTGTTAGTGTGCCAGAAGTTTAAAAGTGGAAAATGTTGGTCATTGCCTTCATCCTCAAGTCTAGGAACAGTATTCTTAAGGGAGGATGATAGTATTTAAAAAGGGCAAGTTTCTTGGGGCAGAGCATAGACCTTTTTGTCTCCCAGTAGCCATTATTGTTCCTGGGGAAGTTTATATACCTCTTACGGAAACAATCAGAACCATGCCTCAATTTACTTTTTTATTTTTTAATAAGACAGGGTTTTGTTCTGTTGCCCAGGCTGGAGTACAATGACACATCGTGGCCCACTATAGCCGTGACCTCCTGGGCTCAAGCGATCCTCCTGAGTAGCTGGGACTATAGGCATGCACCATCACACTTGGCTAAATTTTTATTTTTACTTTTTTGTAGAGATGGGTCTCACTATGTTACCCAGGCTGGTCTCGAACTTCTGAGCTTAAGTAACCCTCCTGCAGTTCTGGGATTACAGTTGTAAACCACTGCCCCTGGCCTTTTTTTTTTTTTTTTTTTTTTTAAGATTATAAGTGTATGACATTATGGGTTGGGTTATGTTCCCCAAATTCCTATGTTGAAGTCCTAACCCCCTGGTACCTCAGAATGTGACTATATTTGGAGAAAGCGGTCTTTAAAGAGGTAATTAAGTCAAAATGAGGTCATGAGGGTTAGTTTTAATTCAATATGACTGTTGTCTTTGTAAGAAGAGGAAATTCGGACATAGACCTGTATAGAGGAAGTCCATGCTGAGACACAGGAAGAAAATGGTTATCTACATGTCAAGGACTTAGACCTTGGAAGAAACCTTCATATCTGGTGCCAGAACTGTGGGAAAGACAGTTCTGTTGTTTGAGTCACCCAGTCTGTGGTACTTTCTGTGGCAGCCCAGGCCACCTAATATGTATGAAATGTGGGGAATTTGGTTACAAGGCTAACAGTTTCTATGAAACCTTTGCTAAATGACTCCACAAATGTTTTCAGTATTCCTGGCCAAAGCCTGGCTTATAATCTTGGAAGTGAGTGAACATTCTTATTTTTAAGCACCCTATGTGTTGAGAACTTAGGTACTTACCTTTTCTTGGTGTGTCCATTTGGTTTTTCATCAGGAGGCAGCTCAATAATGAGCTGGCAGGACTGAGCGTGGTCAAAGTTGTTTGGCGTCTTTGGTGAGCACTGGGTGTCCAGCATAAACACCTGTGTGGGTGTGCAAAGGTACAGTTCAGAACTCCAGCATCCTCTGCTTGACCTGTCAGGGATCAGCTGGATGACCCTGGGCAAGTTGAGCCTCATCATAAAATGAGGATGATAATCGTTTCCTATTTGATATGCTTGTTGAGGTAGTTAATTGATATGTGTGCACTACATATGCAAAGCATTAGAACAGAGGAGCAAATAATCAGGGTTAGCCGTTGACACTAATACTAGCAACACTACTAGTTCTACCATGTGACAATTCATTATACCCCAAATAGCAAGTATTGACACTTAATATTAACTAAGAGTAAATAAAAAGGGGCTTTCTAAAAGATTATCTCTGATTTTTGAGCCTGTTTTGTATCATATTCAACACAGGGGTGAAAAAATGAGTTAGGAATTCTGTCAGGATTCCTGATGGTTACTGATAGGGCCACAGTGCTCTACTAGGCATGGCAGATGTGACTAAGAAAATAGTGAGAACTTATTGGATCTCTGACCAACCCTCCCCCCTCCCCCCAAATTTTATTTTACATGACTTAATATACTTTCACTACTTTCCTCTGGAAAGATTAGAATATATATATATATTTGAGACAGGGTCTTACTCTGTTGTCCAGGCTGGAGTGCAGTGGTGTGAGCATGGCTTACTGCAGCTTCCACCTCCCTGGTTCAAGTGAGCCTCCCACCTTAGCCCCTTGAGTAGCTGGAACCACAGGTGTGTACCACCATGCCCGGCCATGTTTTAAACACTCTTTTTCAGCCGGGTGTGGTGGCTCACACTTGTAATCCCAGCACTTTGGAAGGCCAAGGCAGGTGGATCACAAGGTCAGGAGTTCAAGATCAGCCTGGCCAACACAGTGAAACCCCATCTCTACTAAAAATACAAAAATTAGCTGGGCGTGATGGCACATGCCTGCAATCCCAGCTACTTGGGAGGCTGAGGCAGGAGAATTGCTTGAACCTGGCAGGCAGAGGTTGCAGTGACACGAGATCACATCACTGCATTCCAGCCTGGGAGACACAGTGAGACTCTGTCTCAAAAACAAACAAAACCACATTTTTTCAAGTTTGAGGTCCATGTGTAGGATATGCAGTGTCTTACATAGGTAAATGTATGCCATGGTGGCTTATTGCACGGATCATCCCATCACCGAGGTATTAAGCCTAGCATCCATTAGCTATTCTTTCCGATCTTCTACCTCTCCCATCCCCCACAGGTGCCCAGTATGTGTTGTTCCTTGCTATGTGTCCATGAGTTCTCATCCATCAGCTCCCACTTATAAGTGAGAACATGTGATGTTTGGCTTTCTGTCCCTAGGTTAGTTTACTGAGGATAATGGCCTCCAACTCCATCCATTTTCTTGCAAAGGACATGATCTCATTCCATTTTATGGCTACATAGTATTCCATGCACCACATTTTCTTTATCTAGCCTATCACTGATGGACATTTAGGTTGATTCCATGTATTTGTTATTGTAAATAGTGCTAAGATTAACATAAAGTGCATGTATCTTTATAAATGGAATGATTTATATTCTTTTGGGTATATACCCAGTAATGGGATCGCTGGGTCAAATGTTATTTCTACCTTTAGGTCTTTGAGGAATCACCACACTGGCTTCCACCATGGCTGAACTAATTTACACTCTCACCAACAGTGTAAAAGTGTTACTTTTTCTCTACAACCTTACCAGTATCCATTGTTCTTTTGACTTTACTAATAGCCATTCTGAGTGGCCTGAGATGGAATCTCATTGCGGTTTTGATTTGCATTTCTCTAATGATCAGTGATGTTGAACTTCCTTTCATGTTTGTTGGCTGTATGTATGTCTTCTTTTGAGAAGTGTCTGTTCAAGTCCTTTGCCCACTTTTTAATGGAATTGTTTTTTTCTTGTAAATTTATGTGAGTTCCTTGTAGATTTCATAGAGATGGACTCTTAACGGTGTTGCCGAGGCTGGTCTTGAACTCCTGGGCTCAAGCAATCCTCCTGCCTTGGCTGCCCAAAGTGCTGGCATTACAGGTGTGAGCCACCAGGCCCAGCAAGATTAGAATATTTTAGAAATACTTTCAAAATCTTGTAAGAATTCTCAGATTTTCAAATAATGGGTTATTTTAAGAGTGAATACAGAAGAAAAATTTGGGATTGAGGAAGAAATAGAGAAGTATTAAGAAGTGGAAGATTGTATTAAGAGGTGGTGGCTCATGCCTGTAATCCCAGCATTCTGGGAGGCCGAGGTGGATGGATCACTTGAGGTCAGGAGTTCAACACTAGCCTGACCAACATGGCGAAACCCTGTCTGTACTAAGAATGCAAAAATTAGCTGGGTGTGGTGGTACACACCTGTAATCTCAGCTACTCGGGAGGCTGAGGCAAAAGAATCACTTGAACCTGGAGGTAGAGGTTGCTGTGAGCTGAGATCGCACCACTGCACTCCAGCCTGGCAACAGAGTCAAGTCTCAAAAAAAACAAAAACAAAACCAAAAACAAACAAAAAAATGGAAAAAGAAGTGAAAGGTTCACTAAACTAAACATTTATCTGCTGTTCTTCTCCATTAATGATCTATTTCAGAAGAAGATTCCATTGGCTTTTTCATATTTCTTGTTGTATGACTAGATAAGGTTGCACAGACCACTGTATGCACACGTGCACATTCTTTAGCCAGACGTAACAACTGCTTATGTGGAGAAGCTATCCCTGTGGAGGGCCACCTTGTTGGTTTCTCTCTTCTCACTTGTAGCTACACCATTGCTGCAGCAGCCACAATTGCCATGCTGCTAGGAGTAGCTCTTTGTTGCAGCCTTACAACCTTTCTTCTGCCCCAACTTCCGCAGACTGGCCATGAAGGCTTCATGGGATGTGCTCCCTTCCTTCAGAACGAGCAGAATCATCAAGTCCCAGATGTTAGGCATGTGCTCAGCAGAGGTGTGAGAAACCAAAGGTAGAAGATTCTTGTCCCACTACCTCAAGATAGCTGGGAAAAGCCCTGTGGAAGCCAGACCTGGCCAGGAAATGTCTTGACTAACTAAGCTCTTTACATGGGTAATCAGGGAATCCTAGATTATCAGTGTGTTAAGAGAAAATTTTAAGAATTTACACAGATCTGATAGAGAAAAGGGGCCTTGCCTTTTGAGTATAACTTCCAACTCTTTTCTTCAAATTTAACTCAAATGTGACAGTTCAATTACATTTGTAAAACTTGTTTAATATTTTAAACCCACATCATGTATACACATTCATATGCATATGCAAAATAGTGTCTGCATATGAAGACCCAGTTCAGGCATGTCTGTTGCTATTACATGATGGAATATGTAGCCAGTCAGTGGTCGTTGGGAATTTTGTCCATTTCCATTTTTCACTACTATGAACAGCATGGTTATGAATATATGTGAATTCAGGGATGGCATTTAGCTGGACTGCTGCTTAGAGTCACATATAGGGTTTCCTAGAGGCAGACTGCCATGTCACTTAGGAGCTGAGGGCATATCTGTGGCTCATGACACTACTGTATTCTTCTGATATTTCTGTGATTCAGTTACCTACTGATTCAACAAAAACATACTAAGCATCTTCTCTAGGCCTTGCTCTAAAAATACCAGGGTAAATATACAGAATATGTTCTCTGCTCCTCAGGCGCTAACAACCAAATTTTGTGACTTCTTACATGTGTCTCAAGAAGAAAAAGCCATTGGTATATGATGATTCCTGCATGAGCGAATACACTTGAATTGTAATGCTACATTCAACTCGAATTTAGGAAGCAATGTTTAAATGTTAAGTTCTGTGTTGTGAATTAAAGATATAAGAAAAAGAACCCAAATGAGTTTGGCATTGTTAGGCACTCACAGTCTAGCAGTAACAATAATATTTAAGCGAATACTTATAGGTAGCTCAAGCAAGTTAGGTATAAGGGACAGTGGCCACGCTGCTGAAATGATTCTGTTGGATCTGGGCACTGGTGGATGCAAAAAACAAGAGATGATGGAGAGGAGGTAATGCTGTTGATTGGCTCAAGTCATTTCCTGGCAAAGAATGGTACTGGCAAGAGTTGGGAGCCACAAGGTGTATGTCCCTTAGGGAATGAAAGGCAATTTGGTGATGCAGGACCTTCAAGGGAGGTCTCCTAACATGCGTTTCAAGTTTCTAGAGCCCTTGAGATCAAAAGCCCCCGCCCTTACCTGCTGGGCCATGGCTCGAATGCGCCAGTACTCGGCCTCGGCACTTGGGGAGGAGGATGGGGCTGCCACCCGCACCTGGCAGCCTTCCCCGCTGAAGCTCTCCGTGCCGCTGTGGAAGCAGCCCAGCAGGTCCTGGGGAGAAACAGCAGATGCCCACTGAGTGCATCTCACTGAGGCCCAGCCTTGGATCTGAGATCATCACTGGGTCTGAGACAAAAGTACTGGCCCAGCAACTTCTTTCTCACTCTCTGCAAGATCTAAAGTGAGACTCCTGCTTAGAGGAGGCAGAACCCACTAACATGATAAGGCATCAGGGAGCTAGAGACGGTTAGAACTGCTCCAGGGAGGGCTTCCTCCCAGTGATGTACCTTCACTGGCTTGAGTGTGGCGGAGAACGCGTCTTGCAGGGCACAGCAGGCAAGCCTCCACATCTCCTCAGTGAACACAGGGCCTGCTGTCACAAGGACATATCTGCCAAAAGAAGCAAAAGAGTCTTGAATCCCATTTCGTTGCCACAAAATTTGGGCTGTATAGACTCATGCATAGATTTATTCTGCAGTTCCCTGGAAAGTCTCCCTGTCTCTCAACCATCTAGTATTCCATTGTCAAAATACTTCCTGAACCATTTTAATATAGAAATATCAATGATCCCCTCTACAAACAGGCCAACCATTAAACTTAGGCTTGTATGCAAGACTATATATGTTCTGTACTGAGTTTTGTATTCTAGTCCAATTTTCCATCACTCCTCTCCAACTAACAAGCAAAACCAAACCCCAAACTCTTTTGTCATTTAGAACTCTTATCTCAATGCGATTTGTTCATTCTGTTTTTCTGCTTGGAAAGTCCCCAGCTTCCCCATGCTTGTCTGCCTTAGAGGATGTGACCAGTGTCACTGCCACAACAAGACCCTTGCTGGCTGCCCTACTGCCCAGGCCTCCTGTCCTTTCTTGGCACTTAGCAGTTAATCCTCACTGTCACCATTTTTCATGTGACCCTCTCTCTTGCTGCATCATTTTGAATAGGCTCTAAGCTTCTTGAGGGTAGGGCCTTTAGTTTATATTACTTTCTCTGAACCAGAGTACTTAAATTTGTTTTGTTAACTTTATCATGGGTACATGGTATATGTATATTTGTATGGGGTGCATGAGATGTTTTAATGCAAGCATGTAATGTATCATAATCACATCATGGAAAATGGGCTACCCATCCCAAGTATTTGTCCTTTTTGTTACCAGCAGTCCAATTACACTCTTCGTTAATGTAAAATGTACAGTATTGTTGACTACAGTCACCCTGTTGTGCCATGAAATACTCGGTCAGCAGCCTCTGGTAACATCCTTCAATTGTTCAATTGTTTTGATTTTTAGCTCCCACAAATAAGTAAGAACATATATGATATTTTTCTTTCTGTGCCTGGCTTATTTCACTTAGCATAACCTCTCGTTCCCTTTTTGTTGTAAATGACAGAATCCCATTCTTTTTTATGGCTGAATAGTACTCCATTGTGTATGTGTACCACATTTCCTTTATGCATTCCTCTGTTGATGGACACTGATAGGGTTCGGATGTGTCCCCACCCAAATCTCATCTTGAATTCCCATATGTTGTGGGAGAGACCCAGTGGGAGATAACTAAATCATGGGGCCGGGTCTTTCCCACACTGTTATAGTGAACAAGTCTCACGAGATCTGATGGTTTTAATGAGTTTTCCCTGAGCCAGTGGTATAGTTCCAGTCCAAGTCTGAAAGCCTGAGAACCAGGAGATATAAGTCCGGTCCAGGGGCAGGAGAAGACTGATTTTCCAGCTCAAATGGTCAGACAGGCAAAGGACCCTCTTACTCGGCATTTTTGTTCTATTTTGGTCTTCAACTGATTGGATGAGGTCCACCCCCAGTAGGGAGTGCCATCTGCTTTGCTATCTCCCCCAGTTTAAATGTTCTTCTCATCCAGAAACACCCCCAGAGACACACCCATAATAATGTTTGACCAAATGTCTGGGTACCCTGCGGCCCTGAGCAAGCTTCCTCTTTGCCTGCCACCATCCACGTAAGATGCGACTTGCTCCACCTTGCCTTCTGCCATGATTGTGAGGCCTCCCCAACCACGTGGAGCTGTAAGTCCATTAAGCCTCTTTTTCTTCCCAGTCTTGGATGTGTCTTTATCAGCAGCATGAAAATGAACTAATACACTTAGGTTGCTTCCACATTTTGACTATTGTGAACATGCGAGGGCAGATATCTCTTTGATATACTTATTTCTTTTCTTTTGAGTATATACCCAGCAATGTGATTGCTGGATAATATAGTAGTTCTAATATTAGTTTTTTGAGGAACCTCCAAACTGTTCTCCATAGTGGCTGTACTAATTTGCATTCCCACCAACAGTATACAAGGGTTGCCTTTTCTCCACACCCTCTCCAGAATTTGTTATTACCTGTCTTTTGGATAAGCTATTTCAGCTGGGATGAGATGATATCTGAGTGTAGCTTCAGTTTGCATTTCTCTTATGATCACTGATGCGGAACACCTTTTCATAGGCCTGTTTGCCTTCTGTATGTTTTCTTTTGAGAAACTGAACCAGAGTACTTTGTAAAATGCCTTACACAATATACATTTGCTGACTAAACACTGAAATGAAGAATTATTAGCATATAGTCATTTTTAATTATAAAAGTCTGCTTATAGAAAGCAATACAAAAAGTAAATGGCTACCACAAAGACAATGAAATTTCCTTAGGTTTTAAAATAAAAACTCCAGCTTTGTGGAGAGCCAGGAAAGCTTTTGCTCACCTAATACAGGAGCAGCCCACTCTGGAGATAGTTTCGGTGGGCTTGGCCACACAGGCAACCAGCAGCTCGAAGAGCTCTTTCAGCATGGTATTGATCATGCTCTCGTACCTGATATCTATGGGAAACAGTAAAATCACAGTTTCACGCAGCTCTAGTGTAAAGAGAGAGACTGAAATGGCCATCTGCAGCAACAGAAAGTCTGAGTGATAAAAAGATACGCAGACATCTGGGAAAAAGAAATAGAACAATGAGAAAAATGGTCCTATCCTCCACCCCCCCCGAAAACCAGTAAAACCATAATTTTCTTAGATTTTTACCCAATTTCAGCATGTTCCATCCACTTCTAGAGAAATTAAAAAAAAATATGTAGTTCACTTTTATGTGTTCCTACTATATCAGAGTCTCACACTGTGCAAAGCAATACATGGCCAGGAACACGTGGCTACCCTTAGGGATATGGTTACCAGTTACCACCTATATGTGGAAAAACTCACTTGTTTTCTTTTGCAATTAGTATTCTTTTTTTTTTGCAGGGTAAATTGTCCTTGCCAAACTTAGTCTTCCCTGGGGTCAACATCCTCCTTAATTTCTCTGTCCTCTCCAGCAAGGGAACCTCTTCTCTCACCATGATATTTCATGCCTTCGATTTATAAGCTCTGTGGCTAGCAGCAATGCTGCTTCTGCTCCTGGACACCCAGATTGTCACACATGCGGCTCCACTGGGACCACAGCAGACATACCCCTGCCTCTAGGTCCCTCTCCATCTGCTGGCTTCAGCTTACTGTCCATCTCACACTTTCACAGCCTTTACAAAGCGCCCTCAATATTAAAAAATTTCTCGTCATCACTAGCCTGTTAAGCTACTTCTTGCCCATAATAGAAGCCTTTTAAAAAACCCTACCCCCTCCATTTAGCCTCCCCAGATGAAGCAGGATGACAGGAGATACCCACCTATCCCCCCAGGCTACAGGGATATTTCTTTTTTATTTATTATATATCTGAATTTGCCTCTCCTCTCCTAATGCCCAGGTATCCCAGACCTCTTACTAGGTATTCTCTCTCTTTCTTTTGACGGAGTTTTATGCTGTTGCCCAGGCTGGAGTGCAATGGTGCAATCTTGGCTCACTGCAACGTCCGCCTCCCGGGTTCAAGCGATTCTCCTGCCTCAGCCTTCTGAGTGGCTGGGATTATAGGCGGGCACCATCACACTTGGCTAATTTTTGTATTTTTAGTAGAGATGGAGTTTCGCCATGTTGGTGAGGCTGGTCTCAAACTCCTGACCTCGTGATCTACCCACCTCAGCCTCCCAAAGTGCTGGGATTACAGGCATGAGCCATGGTGCCCAGCCAGGTATTTTATTTTCTACCACACATATATTTTGAGCATTCTGCTTGAAAATTTTGTAGAAGACACATGGGTATGAATTTTCTCTTTGAAAATCTTCTTTTACAAGACTGGCACTGGCCAGGTTGTTCTATTTTAATAATTCCCAGGACAAAAACCCTGCATTCGTATTTGCATTAGGTATTTACTACGCCTTTTTAGACAACAATGCTGTCTACCAAAGAAATACCCAGAATGAGCTGCTCTGGCACTTCAGATACCTGAATGTAGAAAGCTTTGAATGTGCTCCACCACCAGCTCACAGGACAGTCCAATAGCGTGCTTGAAGTTGGCAGAGGCCACATCCCAGTAGGAATGGTCTTTATGGCTACGGCGGAGCCACAGGGACATCACAGGAAGGAGGAGGTGAACCACTGCATAGATACCGAACCCTGGTCCTACAAAAGAAAAGTCAGCATAGCAACAACCTGTAATGAGAGGGAAGCTCTTTGCCTTCACCTGGCATTGTTGATCTCTTTTGAAGGATCCCTACATTTGCTGAGAAACTGCAGAGAACAGAATTTACTGCTGATGGGGGAATGTACAGTCTTCAGTGGCATTTTTCCTTTTTGTTTCTGCAGGATTTTAGTTATGTGAGCAATATGTGAATATACTCCTAAAACATTCAAATATTGCTGGTAAAGCTAAAATATCACCTGGTCAACTCCTAGGACCCAGAAGTAAACACATAAACAAATGTGTATAAGAAAACACCCTTTGAAATCTATCTCTATATATTTATGAAATCTACATGGGGAAATATAGTGTTTTGTTTTTATTTTATATAAACGAGATAATGTAAACTTTGCTCTGCATACTCATGTTTTTCACTTAACAATAGTTGTTAGAACTGGCCACAGCAGTGCATGCCTGTAATCTCAGCTACTCTGCAGTCTGAGGTGTGAGGATTGCTTAATTAAGCCCGGTAATTTGAGACTAACTTGGGCAACATTGTGAAATCTCTTCTCTTTAAAAAAAAAAAAAATTAGCTGGGCATTGTGGAGTGCTGGTAGCCTCAGCAACTCGGGAGGCTGAGGGGGAAGAATTGCTTGAACCCAGGAATTTGAGGCTGCAGTGAGCTATGATCACACCACTTGCACTCCAGCCTGGGAAAGACCTCCGTTTCAGAGAAACCCCCAAAATGTTAGAGATTATTCTTTGTCAGCAAATTTGGATATTCCTCATTTACTTATCCATTACAAACTTTACAACAGTTTACTTATCCATTTCCTTACTGATGAACATTTATGGTGTTTCTAATTTTTTTTTGTTTTATAGACTATGCTATGATGAAAATCATTGTGTGTCTTTGTTTAACATTGTGGAAATGTTGAGGAATTTTTGAAGTTCTGATTACAAAAGCAAGGCATCCATTTTATAATAAGCATGGAAATTACATGAGAATACAAAAGAAAAAACTCACCTAGAGACAGTCACATTTCGATGTATTCCTTTTTAGGACTTTTTGAATGCATGTGTGCTTGTATTTATAATTGCATAAAATTTCATATAGTTGATATTGCACTCCATAGTATGTGAATTTTAACATAAGGTTTTGTAAATACATCATTAAAAATTATTCACAGATATTTTAATGCCTGCAGAATATTTATATGCTTTTATCACAATTAACTGCTTCCAATTTAGGGTGTTCATAACTTTGGTATTCAAGATATTTCAGCAAACATCTTATATATACAATCTTGTCTTTAATATTGATAATTTCCTTAGATGACAGGCTCCTAGGAATAGAAGGGGATTAAATGCTCTTCACACAAATTTAGTGGCAATCAGTGTGAAGGCAGAAAATGGTACTGATCAGTACAACGGATTTAGAAATAGTGGTATGCAATTAATTCTATAAAATAGCTACTTATTCTTTGATGGAAGGCTTTTAACTTTTTAACATGTGGGAGTATCTACGGTGGTTTAATAATATAAACTTTGCTATAGATTTATGAAAAAGTGTCAATTATCAAGTCTTCATTACGATGAGTACAGACCTCCTCTTAGTATGAAAGTGGCTTCATTTAGGGTCTGATTCTATTAGTAAAATACTTACATTTCAATAAAAAAATTTTCTTTTATCTTGAGAAACTGGGATGAATACATGTATATACTAAAATTGATTAATTCACAATAAATAAATTCCTAAATGTCATTCTTTTTTTAGACTCTCAGGTACACTGTACTAGGCAAGCACTCACTGTCTTTTTCCAAATCTAATCCCCTATGACCCTTATACAAATGGGGTGTTGGTATCTTAATACTGCATATAATTGCAAGTGGAAGACCCAGTGAGCCCAACCAACAGCCCAAGGACCAAGAGCATATGACTGTGAGATCCTGCCGCAAAGGAAGGCTGTGACCATGGAACACGGCAAAGCCAAATGGTTCATGGAGACACAGATGCCACAGCCTTGGTCTGATTAATGTGGAGATCCTGCACATCCAAGTAACTGGCCACCACACAACATTTGTAACCAGACTTCTAGGAAGAAATGCAAACAATAAACAGGCCGTATCTTAAACATCACTACCAATCAACAAACATTTATTGAGCATCTCTTACACGTGTGAAGCTTTGTACTAAGTCTAGGAAACAGTGAAAACAGGTAGACATCTGCAGAAATACCCTCCTGAAAAGAGTTATATGTATAAGCATTCCCCCAAATGACAGACAGAGAAATACTTACCTGGTGTTTTGGTCACATCTCTCAATAGCTCAAAGAGTAAATCCAAAGTTGGTGGTTGGTGCTGCCGTGGACAATTGGACACAGCTGCTGTCAGCTGCTCCAGCAGGATTATCCAGACTTCTATCAGACCTGGAAACCAAAATGCAGACCAGTAGGAAATCCAGCTAGACATAATGAACAATCCCAAAATCTTATTAAACATTGTATGTAAACTGCCAAGTGCTATACAGATGTGAGCCATCACCCAGCGTGTTAGTCTTCAGTGCCCATAGACGTGAGCAGATGATGATTTATGTGTTCTGACAAAGTCAAGGGGAAAAATACCACTCACATTTCCTCCTTCTTCCCCTTTAATAAAAGTGTGATAGAGTAAGGAAATTCTGCGTTGAAATGGCTATCAGGTTTCTAGGGAGCCGATGATCCCAAATCAGTAAGATATCCATCCAGTTCCATCACCTTCATTTATCTTTTTAAAAAAATGATTTTATGGTGGTAAATATGTAGAACAGAAAAAAGCCATTTTAGCCATTTCTACAAGTACAGTTCAGTGGTATTCATGACAACAGCGTTGTGCAACTATCGCTACTGTTTCCAAAACATTTTCATCATCTCAAACCGAAACTTTGGGGCCATTAAACAGTTACTCTCCTTTCTTCCTCATTCCCATCCTTTGTACCTCTAATGTACTATAAATTATGGTTGATTTTGAGGTGTGATAGTGGTGTCATGCTTATGTTTGTTATCTTTAAAGAACACACACAGAAACATCTACAGACAAAATGCTATGTTGGGGATTTGCCTTAAAGTATCGAGGAAGAGGAAGAGAGAGCAAAGATATACATGATCCAATATTAGCCATAAATTGGTAATAGTTGAAGCTGGGTGGCAAGTATATTATTCTGTTTAGTTCTGTATATTCTACATGTAAGTATCTGTATATGTATATATTTTATATATTCAAAATATACAAGTCTTGTATATGTTTGAAATTTCCATAAGGGAAAATGTAATTATTTGCATTTGAAAACAAGAAGAATAATATCTGAGAATGTATCAATGTTCAGGATTGTTTAATTTTTTAAAACTAATTTAAAGCTGTTACTGATTTCTCTTTTGTTCTTATTTACTATCTCTACATAACAGTAACTTTAAAGTCCTTGATATATTGATTATGTAGAAAACTTAAGATAGGCACTGGACTGAACTGTATCCCTTAGAAGATGGAGTTCCTAGAAAAAAAAATCAAAGATTTGCACAAATGGGAAAGAGAATGCATGCCATTACATACACAACTGTTTACAGCTGTTTTAAATAATGTATTACAGATAAACAACATTAGCTTCGGCTTATAATTATCTGGGTTGGGGATTTAAAATGCTAAGTAAAACTTGTTCTTATCTAATCATTAAATTGAAACATCTATTAGGCAATATCTAGCCAACTTCCAATACTTTAATTGTTCTCTACATTAGATATTTATTCTTTCCTATAATTATTCCTCACAACTAATCCGAACTTGTGAGATTTTGTTGTTTATAATCTCCACCAAAAAATTTAAATCTCCTAGGCACCCCCACAAAATAAATTTGTAACACCAAAATAAAACAAAAACAAAAATCTTCCCCTCAGAAGTCCTTTATAAAAGAGTTGGAAATAACTTATATCCAGAAATTAGACCTATTTGAGGGTATGATATCCAATTCTAGATGTAGAACAAGACCGGGTCTTCTGAGACAGGAGACAGAAGACAGAAGGCAGAAGGCATGAGCATGAGTTAGTCCATCTGAAAATGATCCACAGTTACCAGCTTGAACTCTGATTCACAGGAGATCACATGGGACCTAATTTGAAACAAATTCTTTAAAATCATTCCTTTCATGAGCCTTCAGTGTCACCAGTCACAAATAGATTCTCTCTTTAGTAATGGCTTAATTTCCCCAATCTCTAACTAAATAGTCCTGTAGGAAGCAATTGTATAATTATTTGTTTTCTAAAAGGTATTAAAAGACAATTAGCAATTTAAGTACCTAGGCACCAATGGAACTTCATTCCAATTTGCTAAAGTTGAGAGAATTGGGAGTTAGAAACTACTTATGTGAAATTTGCAAATCTGCACTAGTTTTAAACAGAGGAATCCATTTTAAAAGGATGGATATAGAGGTATCCACTGTAAAGTGATGTTTTTAGAAAGTCCATGGAAACTTTAAGCATACTTCTTGTGACAGAATTACAAAAAAATAATTACAAAAATAGATGATCATTCTTATGATCTATGCTATGGTTTGACTATTTCCCCCAAAGTTCACATGTTCACGGCAAGTGCATCTGGAGTCTTAGGATTTCATGTCTGCTCTGTTGGGTTTTTGGACTCACTTGGGGCACGTTATTCCTGTCTTGCCTATTTCTCCCCCTTTAGAATGTGAATGTCTGTCCTATGCCTCCCTACCCTTGTATTTTGGAAGCATGCAATTTGTTAACTTCACAGGCCCACAGCTGGAGAGAAATTTGCTTTGGAATGAATCACACATTTAGTTTAAACTGTACCTGATTTAGACGAGACTCTTGAGTTGGTGCTGAAACAAGGCTTTGAGACTCCTGGGATGGAATTAATGTATTTTGAGAAGAACCTGAATTTTGGGGGCCAGAGTGGAATGCTATGGCTTGAATGTGTCCCCCAAAATTCATGTGTTGGAAACTATCTATAATGCAACAGTGTTGACAGGTGAGACTTTTAAGAGGTGATTAGGCCATGAGGGCTCTGTCCTCATGAATGGATTAATGTTGTTATCATGGACATGAGTTAGTTATCTTGGGAATGGGTTTCTGATCAAAGCATGAGTTTGGCCCCCTTCCTCTCCCCACCACTCTGAACTCCTTGAGTGCTCTCTTGCCCTTCCTCTGTGGGATGATACAGCAAGAAGGTGCTCATCAGATGCAAACCCTCAACTTTTGGCTTCTCAGCCTCCAGAACTGTAAGAAATAAATCTGTTATTGATAAATTACTCACTTTCAGGTATTCTCTTATAGCAGTACAAAATGGACTTAGACAATTCCCAGAAGCTTAAGATACTTCATTTATGACTTACGCTTCTGGGAATATGAACACAGCAAATAACCTAGTTTAGTCCAATCAATTAACTTACCGGTGTCATCATCAAAATCAGACAGGACTGATTCAATTCCATCCTCACTGCTGGCTGACTGTTCTTGAAGTCTTCGAGGCAAGCTGGCAAGTCTCCCACTAAGGAATATTGGCTTCAAGGGCATTTTGTAGATTTTTGCCAATAACTAAATTTTAAAAAAGACAAACTGCAATTATATCCTGGAAAAAGCTTCACTGTGGGTGTTACACAATCATGAAATGATACACTAGTACTAAAGGGAGATGGGCAACTAGACGTTGAAAGTTTGATTGTGATTTGGATTTATAAAGGTAGCTTACAAGAGGCATTTATCCCATAAAACAGATGAAATGGCATTCAATGGCAACAAAAGAGTAGAAGGAAAAAGGATCCTCTGGATAATTTTCCAGTATTTTAATTACATATGAGTTTTATAGACTTTATAAACCTACCCAGGGAACCATGAAACATGTCAAGAATTTTTGCCTATAGGAAAAAGTGTTCTGTGGGTATCACCGAGAAGTCAGTCCACCGGCCAATGAGATACCAGACTCTGATTTCTCCTTCCCTTGACTCAACCTCTCAGGAAACACAGGGACAAGAGCACTTGGAGAAATGGAGGCTGGAGCCAGGAGGGAGAGAGGAAGTTCTCAGAAGCAGAGCCAGCAGAGTGGTCTGGGCTCTTCATCCCCCTCTTGTGACTAGCGCCCAGGCCCCCGTGGGATCTCTGTCACTGGGACAAACTTCCGAAGATTCTTCTGTCTTCATGAATGAGAATCCTGCCATGCCCACATTGTTCGAGGAACCATGGCTGTGAGCGAACAGACAAAATTCCTGTCCTGGTGGGTCTCACCAACTACAATCCTTTCTAAAATAATCACATTTCAGACATCAATGCTATAGAAAAAACTAAACAGGTGGTACTAGAAATAGTGAAGGCCGGGCATGGTGGCTCACACCTGTCATCTTAGCACTTGGGAGGCCGAGGCCGGCTGTTCTCTTGAGGTCTGGAGTTGGAGACCAGCTTGGACAACATGACGAAACCCTGTCTCTACTAAAGATACAAAAATTATCTGTGTGTGGTGGTGCTACTCAGGAGGCTGAGGCAGGAGAATCACTTGAACCTGGGAGGTGGAGGTTGTAGTGAGCCAAGATTGTGCCACTGCACTCCAGCCTGGGAGACAGAGCAAGATTCTGCCTCCGGAAAAAAAAAAAAAAAAAAAAAAAAAAAAAAAACGTGACCACACAGGGGGACTCTTGGCAGGAGTTGGCAGATCCTTTAGCCCTGCGCTCTGAGGAGGTGATGTTTCAGATGATATCTGGGAGATAGAGAGGCACCCAGAATCTGGGGAGAGAGTCCCAGCCGAGGAAGCAGCGATGTCCCTGGGTGGTAATTAGCAGGTGTATTTGGGGGAGGGCAGCAGCTCAGCATGGCTATAGCACTGTGAGAGGGAAGGACACGAGGGTGGAAAGGGAGCCAGGAAGGGGTCATGTCACACGGGGCCTGGGGAGGCAGCTGGATGGAGAAGCCAGGGATATGTGTCCCTTCTAAAGCCATGGGCTCAGTGCTGTCACCCAGGAAGAGGCTGTATATAGATCCCTAAAGAGGCCCAGGGACAGCATGTGGGAAGACAGGTGAGAAAGTACTGAGAGAGGTGTGTCACTGAAGCTTAGAAAGAAATGGCTTCAGGGAGTGGACACAGCATCAGGCAGAGAAAAATGGGCACAGTGACACTCACTGCTCACTTTGACAAGCACTGTTTTATTCTGCCTCTTTACTAGATTAAAAAAAATTTTTTTTGAGACAAAGCCTCGCTCTGTCACCCAGGCTGGAGTGCAATGGCATGATCTTAGCTCACTGCAACCTCCATCTCCCGGGTTGAAGAAATTCTCCTCCCTCAGCCTCCCAAGTAGCTGGGATTATGGGCCTGTGCCACCACATCTGGTTAATTTTTGTATTTTGAGTAGAGATGGGGTTTCACCATGTTGTCCAGGCTGGTCTTGAACTCCTGACCTCAGGTGATCTGCCCACCTCTACGAGATGATCTTGACTGAACATGTCTGTCTTTTATCAATGTCCCTCTTCACTGCTTGCACCGCCTCCTCCACTTTTTGGTGCCCTCAGAAAGACTTTCCATGACCTCGTGACCCCTTCCCCTAAAATCTAATGCAGACATAGAGATTCCAGTAGTTCGGGCCTCTGAGTGTGAGGGAGAAGTTTCAGAGATCTCAGCATGCAATGGTGTGTTCTAGTATGTTTTCATTATTTTCTTTCCTTCATAGAAAAAGGAGATGTAGACTTTACATCTGAGCCCCAGTCTACTCAGAGATGGCAAAGTGTCTCTCCTGGGCTTCAGCAAAAGACCCCCATGCGCATTGTGAGAGCATCTTCCAAGGCAGGTTTCCAGGCCTGGCGTCCAGCTGGACCCCTCCCCTACCTGAGAGCAGCGCCTGAGGTAGTCCAGGGCTGGGAGGCACAGGTCTGTGGACGGGGCTCCGGGTGCCGGGACACAGTCTCCAATCTCTTTACAGTCCACCTCCCCTAGGGGTGGCATGAGGACAGAGACCAACAGTGTTACTCTTGCGGGCCCCCTTCAACAGGAGACCTGTTGACTCAATAGCACTAGTGCACCAAATAGCTACTAAAAGACAGCAGGAGAAAAGGAGAAAAATGACTTCAAACTGCACAGCCCTGAGGAAAATCCTTTCAGCCATTCTCTCCCCTGCATGTGCACATGTTAAATACAGTTGGGGCCAGTCACGGTGGCTCATGGCTGCAATCCCAGCACTTTTGGAGGCTGAGGCGGGTGGATCACCTGAGGTCGGGAGTTCGAGACTGGCCTGACCAATGTGGAAAAACCCCATCTCTACTAAAAGTACTAAATTAGCTGGGCATGGTGGGGCATGCCTGTAATCCCGCTACTGGGGAGGCTGAGGCAGGAGAATCGCTTGAACCCAGGGGGTGGAAGTTGTGGTAAGCTGAGATTGCACCCCTGCACTCAGCCTGGGCAACAGAGCGAGACTCTGTCTCAAAAAAAAAAAAAATACAATTGGGATCATACTGTCCCACCTATCGTTTTGTTGAGATGATATGGTTTAGTAGCTCCCCCTTCCACTAATCGATGGACATTTCCTCTCTATTCTACCACAGTACTTTCAGTGGCTGGACAGTGTTCCTTTGTACATGGGTACAGGTACAAAGGGACCTGCTGTTAGAGGAAATAACTTGATGACAGAGGACAATCCCAGAGGCAAGTCCTGGATTGGGCTGGAATGAAGCACTTCCCTCTCTCCATTTGGAAAAGGATTTCTTTCCCTGCCAGTGCGTGGCATTAAACAGTGATGATAAATGAGGGATCCGGAAAGAGTCTAAACATCTGGGGTTTGGGGACAGAGACTACTTAATTGCATTTAAATGGTTTTTCTATTTCTTCTACATATCTAGAGATTTAACATGTCTGTAGAGGGGTATCTAGGTTTTTTCTGTAAGAATTGTAACTGAATTATTATAATTTCTCATAATGAATCCATTTCTATACGTTTAATCAAATAATTTCATTTATTGTAATTGTTTCTAATTGTCTACAACTGTAAGAGCTAGAACCCACCCCGGTGAGTAAACAGACATAATTACTAGGCATTAGTTAAAATTCAGAAGTAAAGAGGCATGTTTCTCCTTTTAAAAAACCAAAACATTTCTTATGTTTTTGATCACGGGTTAGCAAACGTTTTTGGCAAAAGGCCAGAGAGTAAATACTTCAGGCTCTGCAAGTCACACTGTCTGTATTGCAGCCACTCAACTCTGTCACGTAGTATGGAAGCAGCCATCGACAAATGAGCATGCTATGTTCTAATCAAACTGTGTTTATAAAAACCGTGGGACATAGCTTGCCAACTCCTGGTTTAGATGAACACATTTTATAATATAAAAACACAGACCAGGTCAAATTCCAGTTGAAATAAGCAGGTGGGAATTAACAACACATTCATTTCCTATCCATGATTACAGCAGGCATCCCAAAGGTTTTGACTGTGGCCACTGTGTATTTGAACACATCCAAGTCTATGTGAATGGCACGCCCTGGAGCCAGGCAGGACATAGGCACCATGACTATACAGGGGCTCTACCTTTTCCATTGAACCCAGGCCCCATGCAAGTAACTAACTCCATCTTATAATTCACAGAAGAAAAAAAACAGAGGCTGTTTCCAGTATCTTCTGTGTGATGGTTTATTTTAGGTGTCAGCTTGACTGGATTAGGGGGGACCCAGATGACTGGTAAAGCATGATTTCTGGATGTGTCTGTGAGGTTGGTTCTGGAAAAGGTTGGCGTTTGAATCAGACTGAGTAAGGGAGCTCCACCCTCACCCAATGCAGGCAGACACCATCTAATCAGCTGAGGCCCAGGGAGAATAAAAGGCAGAGAAAAGGAGAATTCTCTCTGTCTCTGTCTCTGAAGCTGGGATACCCTTCTCCTGTCTTAGAGCTACAGCTTCGCAGGCCTCCAGCTTCAGACTAAGAGTTACACCCTCAGTGCCCCTCGTTCTGGGGCCTTTGAACATGAACTGAGCCATGTTACCAGCTTCCCTGGTTTTCCAGCTTGCAGAGGGTCTATCGTGGGACTTCTTAGCCTCCAGAATTCTATGAATGTTCTAAGATTTCCAACCTGAGATTATTCAACATTATATTAAATAATTGCCTTTATGCAGAAACCTATTCTCAGTGTCATAGGATTAGCAGTTTGAGTTTGATTTCCCAACTTTTTAGCAGAAGAATTCCTCCTACTCCAGGTTTTATTAATTATAAAATATATTTTCTAAGTATAGAAGTCCCCCTTCTTGAAAGCCTCGCGTATTTCAGGAACTACCCAGATGATTTTATACTTAATTTAGAAACACCTTAACAAAATAGATTCTCACTATACAACATGACCTGTGATAGCAGATTTTTATAGAGCACAGGTTTATCTGGGGTGAAATGAAAGAGAGGGACACTTAGTTAAACCAAAAGGTTTAGAAGAAACTTAAAATTTTGAGAGTTTCCACAGAGTCTGATTAGACCTGGAGCCTGAGAACCTTTTAAAAAGGGAAAATATAAGGTTGACATTATTCTTTGACAATAAAGTTGGCATAAAGTAATAAGCAAATAGATTAAAAATATGCTATAAGATATTCCATGAACACAATGAAAAGTATCAACTTTGGATAACATTCAAGCTGCTTTCACAGTAAGTTTTTGCTTCTGAGTACACGGCACCACACCACCTGCTTGTATCCCAGCATGCGTGCTTGTTCCAAGCAGTCAGTAGGCCCCGTCTCTAGCCATACAGAGCCACCCTGGAAAAGGTCCTCAGCTACTACGAGGCATGAGAGAAAGGTTCTGCTTACCCAGTCCTTTGACAAACTTCATAAGGCACATGATGTAGCTAGTGGCTGCATTAGCAAAGACCTGGATGTTGTCCGTATTGAGAAAAGCTTCAAATACATCAAACACTGGAGCTTGGCCTTTTCCTAAGGGAGGAAGATGATAGAACTGTAAGAAAGTAAGTTTCTACCCTTGGCGTTGCCAGGGTGGCCCATAGTCCCAGCACCTTCCACGGGGGCCTTGAGGAAGATCTACTGGGGAGATGCCTGGGATTTTTTATTGAACCGTTGGCTTGGCTCCAGCGCCATGCTCAGTTTTGCTGCAGGGGCAAAGCTCGGCAGAGAGATGAGGGCTGAGCTGGCCGAACGCAGAGCTGAGGCAATGTGCCGGTCTAGAGAGCAGGGAAATATGTGACCTCTGGAATGCTCCTGCACAGGTAATTATAGATTTCTACAGGGAAGGGCAGGGCAGGTGTAGATAGACCTTTGGTGGCATCTGTGAGTTTATACCTGTGCAGAAAAAGCACAGAAGATCTGAGACCACTCTCCATTTAGAAAGCTTGCTTGCAAAATTGATCTTTGGCTGGTGTCTGGGAATTCAGCTCTGAGAGTACTCTCAGGCCACAGTTAATGGTAAGAGTAGTTCACTGTGCCTAGACTGTTCATACAAACCATTTGGTTTATGCTGAACACCTGCTTTCCTACTGGGAGTCTGGGTTTTTGGTATGTGCTAGGGAAGGGGTACGTAAGTGACCAGCCCCCAGCTAGATCTCTAATGGGCTTCCACAGGCAGAAACATTGCAAACATGTTGCTGTGTTTTCACTGCTGGGGGAGGAACGTGTTCTGTGTGACACCTCATGGGAGGGTGACAGCACAGGGAAGCTGGTGCAGATTCCTCCAGACTGTCTGTGTCTTTCCTCTGTATAATCTGCTGTGTCCTTCCTACATTGCTAAAAGTTGGTAATGAGCTGTGTAATAAACCTCAACATAACTATATTCTGGGTCCCATGAGTCCTTCTGGTAGGTTTCTGAGTTTAGAGGTGGTTTTGGGAACCTCTGAGACGACACTGCTGGGCCCTGGGCATGCCTTATGGGTACCCTTCCATTTCCAGCAGACCGCATCTCCCTGATTCTGGTTACTCTGTGTTATGATACTTTTCTGCTTCTTACTAGCAAGTGGATAACATTTTCCTTTTTGGCTTTCAAAATGAACTCAACACAGCAATGTATAAGTGAAACAACAGAAGCCTCTCAGCCTTATTGTCCAATTGTCAGCAAGAACAGGGCCTGATAATGCTCAGGGCTCTCAGCCTGCTGGCAGAACTCAGAACTCACATTTCTGCTATACCACATTCTTTCCTGCTGATAAAACGTGGCTGACAATCTGTTTTCCCTATTGTTCAATTTTTTTTTTAGCATGAAACTTGGCAGAGAGAATTAATGCTGAATAGCAAGAATCTTCCAAACATTCTTACCCATGGAGTAGTCACCAACCAGGTACTCCTTCACCTCTGACTTGTTCCCACCATGCACTGTTTCCAGGGCACTGAACAAGGGTCTCCATCCAGACTGGATCTGCGTGGAACACACTTCAACCAGCTCACCAATGGACGTGACAACCTGGCAGAGGCAAAGCAAGTGGCACTTAAAGTCCTCTCCTTAAAAGGAGCAGCATTTCTGGGAAGGGTGATATATTTCTCTGTTCCCTATTTTGGAGTTAATTTTAGTAAAAAAGAAAAACCAGAACAGAAAAACTCACTCAAAAGTCTTCTGAATAATCAGCTATTGTATTAATTTGCATTTAACTCATGACTAATGTCGCTAAGCAACTTTTCACATCTTCTTAGCTGTATATTTTGTTGTTTTTAAAAATGGGTTCATGTCTTCTCATTATTATCTTTTTTTGTTGTTTTTAGAGTTCCTTGTATATTCCCAAGATTAATTTGCAAATATTTTCCCACAGCTTTTGGCTTTTTGAAAGTTTTATTTTCTAATGGTGTCTTTTGAAGATGAAAAGTTCTTAATTTTGGTAAGTCCAATTAATCTATTTTTCTTTTAGTGGATCATATTGTTAGTGTCATTTCTAAAAAATCTTTGCTTAACTCAAGGTCTCAAAGATTGTCTCCTTTACTTTCTTCTAGAAATACTTAGAGTTTTTGTTCTTATGTCTACATCATGACCCATTTTGAATTTTTTTTTTAACATGGTGAGAAGGTGTAAGTTTATTTTTATCACATACATTCAAGCATGATTCGCTGAAAATGTCCCCTCTATGATTGAATTGCAATGTTATCTTCGTCAAAAATCAATTGATTATAAGCAAGATAATTTATTTCTGTACTCTTCAGTTCCACTTAACTATAGGTCTGTGTTGACACCAATATCACACTGTGTTGATTACTGAAATTCTGAAATCAGGTAGTGTACATTTTCAAAATTTGCTCTTCTTTTTCAAGTTTGTTTTCTCTCTTCTATTCTTTACAGTTTCACATAAATTTGAGAATCACTTTGACAATCTCTTCAGAAAGGCCTGCTGGGATTTTAATCAGAATTGCACTGAATCTATACATCAATTTGGGGAAATTTGCCGTTTTAAAAATATTGAGTCTTTCAATCCATGAATATGGTATATCTCATACTTATCTGAATCTTCTTTAATTTCTCTCAGCAATGTTTTGTACCTTTTGTGTACAGGTCTTGAGCTTCTTTTGCTAAATTTATTCATAAATATTTTATCATATTTGATGTTCTTATGAATGGAATTGTTCTTATTTATCTTTGGAGAGTTTATTTCTCATATGCAGAAATTCAGTTGATTTTAGTATGTTGATCTTATATGCAGTGACCTTGCTCAACTCACTATTAAGTTTAGAATTTTTTTTAATCCCATATAATTTTCTACATACAACCCCATGTTGTCTGTGAACTAAAACAGCTTTACTTTTCTTTTCAAACCTTGATGTCTTTAATTTCTTTATGCAACGAGTAAAAGTTAATGTTGAACAGAAACAGAGAAGACAGAAATCCCTGTGTTATTACTGACCACAAGGGAAAAGCACTCAGTCTTTCGTCATTAGATATAGGATTCTCAAAGATGCCCCTTATTTCATGGAGGAAATCCCTCTAATTCCTCTTTTCTTAAAAGGTTTTGTCAAAAATGGGTGATGAATTTTCTTAAATGTTTTAGTGTATATCTATTAAGATGATCATATGGTTTTAATCTTTTATTCTACTAATATTTATGTTAATTGATTTTGAGCTGTTAAACCAATCTTACATTGCTGGGATAAATTCCATATGCCATGATGTTTAATCTTCTTTATGTATTGCTGGATTTAGTTTGCTAGTTTTTTTTTTTTTTTTTGAGACAGAGTCTCACTCTGTTGCCCAGGCTGGAATGTAGTGGCATGTGATTACTGCTCACTGCAGTCTCAACTTCCTGGATTCAAGGAATCTTCCCACCTAAGCCTCCTGAGTAGCTGGGACTACAGGCATGCACCACTACACTCAGCTATATGTATATATATTTTGCGGTGATGGGGGTCTCACTATGTTGCCTGGCATGGTCTTGGAAATCCTAGACTCAGGCAAACCTTCCACTGTGGCCTCCTAAAATGCTGGGATTATAGTTGTGAGCCACTGTAACTGGCAATTTTTAAAGGAATTTTTTGTCTCATTTCATAAAGAATATTGGTCTATAGTTTTCTCATGGCTTTGGTATCACAGAAATGCAGGCTTCATAAAATGGGTTTGGAGGTGTTCCTTCCTGCTTTATTTTCTGGTAGAGCTTGAGTAGGGTTGCTATTATTTCATCCTTAGTTTATAGATTCACCAGTGAGCCCATCGGCTTTGGTTTTTGTGGGATTTTCTTTTTTTAATTTATAAACCTTTGTTTTATTCAATTTGTTAAACAAGAACTGATTAAATTATTGCCTCCCAAATAACAATCACGGAAACATGTCACCTGTTTGAAAGAACTATACCATTAGATAGTTACAAAATTTAATAGTAAGGATCAAACAGTGGTTATTGGTCTAACCAATCCACATTGACAACTTTGAAGTGTTCAGATGCTAGTTTTAAAATAAAAGTGACAAATACCAATCACACTCTCATACTGTTCAGGAGCTACATAAAGTTGGTTCTAGAAATAGTTCAATATACAAAGGTATGAGAATAACATTGTAATCACTGGTGATCAAACCAAAGGTGTAATTTTACAAATCACTTTTAGTAAGAATCAATTCTAACATTTTAAAAGTCTAAATCTGCTTAAAACTCAAAGCCATATATTTTTCTACTTGAGACAAAAATAAATTTCCTTTTTCCTATCTAAACATAATTCTTTGAGGTGAATCTGAATTCACGTGATATATCTTGTCAAACTTTTCCAAAGAATTTTAGGCCCTGTTTAGAGACAAATTCTTATGTTATATATACAGCTAGCGCTTGACTTACGACCACAGTTGGTTCCGACAGACCGGCCGTAACACGATTTGGTTGTGAGTAGGCTATATGCATGCGGAGTGGTAGTGCTGCCGGAAGCTGGTCTGCACTGTCGTACGCCCAGCTGGGCAACGTTTGCGCTGCCAGACGTGGAGCAGTCGTGGCTAGCGATTGTGGTCGTAAAGTCAAATGGTCGTAAGTTGATCAATACCTGTACACATATTTTTATTTTACATATTTTTACTTCAAAGACTAATGACAACTTTATGAGGTTAATAGGCCTTTAATGTGCAACCATCACCACAATCTGATTTTAAAACAATAGTACTTACCCCTCAAAAAACTCAGTACCCATTTGTAGTTGTTTCCTACTCCACCACCCCACCCTCAGCCCTAGGCAACCACTAATGTACTTTCTGTCACTGTAGATTTTCCTATTCTGCACATATCATATAAATGCAGTCATATAACATATGGTCTTTGGTGATTGGATTTTCTCATGTAATGCAATGTTTTCAAGATTCATCCATGTTGTACATATATCAAAATTTCTTTTTTATTGCTGAATAATATTTTGTTGTGTGGACATAACCAAATTTAATATATCTGTTTGTTAGCTGTTAGAATTAGAGTTGTTTCTAACTTTTTGGCTATCATGAATAATGTTACTATGAATATTTTCATACAAGATTTGTATGGATGTTTTCATTTCTCTTGGGTATATGCCTCTTCAGAAACTGCCAGACTGAAAGCAGCCAAACATTTTACCTTCCCACCAGCAGTGCATGAGGGTTCCAATGTCTCCACCTCCTCCCTCACCAACACTTGCTATTATCTATCTTTTTTAACCTAGTAGATGTGAAATAGTATCTCACATGGTTTTGATTGACATTTTCCTAATAACTAATGATGGTGAATGTCCTTTCATTAATGCATATTTAATGCCATTATTGACATGGTTCTATTTACATATGTCATTTGCTATTTGTTTCCTGCATATTTATATATCAGGTTCTTTTTGTTCCTCTGTTCCTCTTTTACTACCTTCTTTTATGTTAAACACATTTTTTTTTTTGTGATCACTTTCATTCCTGCTTATTTTTTAATCTACTTTTTGTGTTATTCTCTTGGTTACTGCCCTAGGAATTATAATATGAATCTTCAATTGATCACATTTTACCTCAAGTTAATACTGACCTAATTCTGGCAAAATACAGCAACTTTGCCTCTGTATAGCTCAATTTCCCATCCTTCCTTTCTGCTAATGTTATTTATATCTTTATGTTTAATAAATCCAACAATACAGTGTTAGAGTTATTGCTTTAAACATCATGTTTTTAAAATCAATTGGGAGGAAGAGAAAAATGTACACACTATTTATTTTCCCACATATGTACCATTTCTTCTTAGGCAATAGATTTACCAGTTTGTGTTATTTCTTTCAGCTTAAAGGAATTTAGTATTTCTTGTAGAACAGGTCTACTGGCATGATATTCTTCCAATTTTTGTTTATCTGACAATGTTTTTATGTCATCTTCATTTTTAAAGAGGAATTTCTCTAGGATTATTCATTAACAGCTTGTTTTCTTGTCAGCACTTTACATATGTCATCTTATTGTCTTCTAGCCTTCATGCTTTCTGAAGAAGTCAACATTAGTTAATTCTAGCATTAATCCTAGCATTATTACCTCTGCAGTAATATATATGTCTTTCTCTTGCTGCTTTTAATGTTTTGCCCTTGTCGTTGAGCATTTTGACTAATGTGTCTATCATAGATATCTTTGTGTTGATCCTAATTGGGGCTCCACTATTTTTTAAAATCTATTTTCCCATTGTTTGTCTTTCTTTCTCCTCTCCATCTGGGACTCTCATTACAGGTATGTTGGTATGCTTGACATTGTTGTACAAATCTCTGAGGCTTTGTTTAATGTTTGGTCAAACTTAGTTTTGTCTGATCTTCAGAATAATCTCTGTTAATCTATTTCCATGTTCACTGATGCTTTCTTCTGCCATCTCAGATCTTTCTGGTAATCCCGTATAGCTAATTTTTCATTTCAGCAATTGCCCTTTTCCACTCTAAAATTTGCATTTTCACAGTTGCCATTTCTATATTTAGCGTTCCTACTTTTGAGTCACTGTCATTATATTTTCCCTTATCTTTGGGGAATATATTTATAATAGCTACTTTGAAGGCTCTGGCTCCCAAATACATCTGGGCTCACTCTAAGTTTCTATTTACTGTTTTTCCCTCTGAGTATGTTTCACTCTTTCCTGTTTCTTTGCATCACTCATATTTTTTAAAATTAGACATTTTAGATAATATATTGTAGCAATGCTGGAGTCTTATTTATTTTTGAGGGTTTTTTTCTTCCCACAGACTAAGTTGCTTGGACTTAGACTGTGGAATCTGTCTCTTCCCATGGTGCTCATGTGTCTGCTCAGTTTTTGTTCTTCAGTTTTATTTTCTAGCCTGACTCCCTAGTGTTCATCCCATGTCTGCATAGCTTAGTGGTCAGCTAATCATGTGGGTGGAAACTGTGCTCAAACACCTTGAGTCTTTAAGGCTCCTGCCGTCTGGCAATCAATCTGTGTGAGAAGGTTGGCCAGCATATTCAAAACTCAGCCAGTTTTTGTCTCCCTTTTCTTTTACTTTTTGGTGAGATCTTCATGGTCTCCCCTGCACATGCCCATGTTTCAGTCATCCAGGGATGTGTGAACAAGCTATTTGGTCCCTCTGTGAATCTCTGATTTCCAGGATCTTACGTTAGATATTTTACTAGTTCACTACTCACTGCAAATCTTAGGCTAGCAAGGTTGCAGTCTTCCCTGGTTCATTTCTCCATGAATCCATCACTTTCACAAGCCAATGGTCTTCTCCTCCGTCTTCTTCATACAAAGTCTGTCCCTGATAGAAAAGCTGATAACTTTCTCAATCAGCTTCACACTGGTCAAACTACTATTCTTGCCAACAGAGCTTGGAGTAAAGGTGATGGTTGCAGTCTTCGGCAAGAAAGTCAGAGTCCCACTATTCTCAACCAAAGTTCTAGCAAACAGTGTTTTTAAGAATAAATCCTATTTAATTTTTTTTGTCTGATTTTGGTCAATTTCCAGACCCCTCAGATTGTTGCTTTGGGCAATTCTATCCTGTTTTATGCTTGATTTTTGTGGAGAGGGTTAACCTAACTTCTTCACGTCACCATAGCCAAAGCTGCTCCTATCCTTAATCTTCCTAAACACACTGAAGCATTGTTATTTTAAAGTGTGTCTCTGATAACTCTGATATCTGAGTTCCTATGTGTTTGTTGTTTGTTTTTTAAATTTTTGTTTTCAATGACATTTTATTTCCTAATGAGCCTGGTTATTTTTATTAACTACAAACATTATACATACAAATCAAGAAATAACTTGAAGCTTGTTATTAATAGAATGATGTAATCTTCTGTCAGAAAGGTACTAGACATCTCAGATTACCTTAATCTCATGTCAGGGATTGGGATTATTTGAAGTTGGGTATTATTTACTCTTATGAGTAGTCTATTTAAGGTTTACCTTTATTTCTAAGATGTCCCTTTCTCTTCAAGATCCTGACTCAAGATATCAGGAAGTTTACCAGAGTTGGCAGGTCCCAGACTGCAATTTTGCCGAGCTTCTCAGTCTTTTATTATGTTGGTGCAAAAGTAACTGCAGTTTCTGCTGTGCTGGCAAAAACTGCAATTATTTTTGCACCAAGGTAATATCTTCCTTTTTTAAAAATTAGATTCCATTTTAGGAAAAACAGCCTCAAATACCAGGAAGACTATTCTAGGCCTTCTTTTTCTCCTAGATCTTGGCCCCCTAGATCTTTACTGCCCTATAGTGTTTCAATGTCTTCAAGTGATTAAAAAATTTTTTTATCCAACTTTTTTTAGTTGTTCGCTGTGGGAAAGTTGATCTAAATTACCTAGTTCACTCTTATTGGTATGTAGTCTTAGGTGTTAACCTATCTAGGTTAACTTATCTAATATGTTAATGATCTAGCTTTTAGGTGTGAACAATCTAGGAGCGAAAAATAGGTGTTATCTTAAATGTCAACAATCTGGTCTTTAGGTGTTAACTTATATTTTCAATCCATTATTTCCTTAAACTTACTAGGCATTTTAATATTTTACATGGAAGATATCAGTATTTCAGTCCAATTCTTTATAGGTCTAGTCGTCCCATCTGTTGTTTTATCATTTCTCTCTATTGCCTTGTTTTCCTGTGTTTTGTGAATTTTTTAAAAATACTGAGAGCTCATGTACCTTGAAACTTTATTTGTGGGATTCTTTTGTGGCCTGAGTTGATGTGAGTTTCTCTTGGGGGAATTTTGTTGCTTCTGTATGGTGCCTGTGTAAAGTTTCTGAGACCCCCGAGGTGGTGCAATTTCATTTACAGATCACATAACAGGGTTAGGTTGTAATAATCCTGGAGTGCTCTTTTTTTTTTTTTTTTTGTGAGCCGTGGTGCAATCTTGCCTCACTGCAAACTCCGCCTCCTGGGTTCAAGTGATTCTTCCGCCTCAGCCTCCCGGGTAGCTGGGACCACAGGTGAGTGTCACCATGCCCAGCTAATTTTTGTATTTTTTTTTAGTAGAGACGGGGTTTCACCATGTTGGCCAGGATGGTCTCGATCTCTTGACCTCGTGATCTGCCCACCTCGGCCTCCCAAAGTGCTGGGATTACAGGCAAGAACCACCGCGCCAGGCCTTGGAGTGCTCTTTTTAAAAAAACTCTCTACTTTCCATTAAGAGCCAATGTTAGAAACAAGCTGATCTATCTTCAGGAAGTTTGTTTTAATTCAACCTTGATCCAAGTGAACCCCAGCTTTGTAAAGTTTGCGTTGAGATTTGTTTTCCGTTTCTGTGCACTCAAATCTGGGATGATCAGAACTTTGGCTCCACTTGATAGCAAATTCCCTCACGGTCAAACCAGGCTAAGGGCTCTGCTTACCTCTCTGGCTTCCCATTGACACTCAGTTTTTGGGGCTTTCTTACTTTCTTGCCAGTGTGTCAATGTATTTAAAAGAAATGTTTAAACCTCTATTCAACATTTTTGGTGAGAGAGAGAGAGAGAGAGAGAGAGAGAGAGAGAGAGAGAGAGAGAG